TTTTATGCTATCGTTCACATAGCACAGGGCCACCCCTCCCCCTTTCTTGCCTTCTCTGTCTTTTCTATATAAAGTATTGCTTTGTCCCAGTCATTTTTCTCAATATAACATGTCTCAGTAACAGTGACTAATTCTATATTATCAGTTGCCATTATTGCCACAAGTTCATGGATCTTATTCCATAAACTGCAAGCATTTGTAGACACGACTCTGAGCTTTTTAACACACTTGCTACAGGCACTGTCTGTCCTTGTTTTGGGAGGCAATTGGATTGATGTATTTTCACCCTTTTGCCCCCCCCCCCCAGTTTAAATATGTCCTAGCAAAACCTCTGAACTGCTTTCTGAGAACATTTGTTTCCTTTTGCAAACCAACTTTTTTTTGTACAGTTTATTTCCATTCCAAATAGAGCTACCATGAAAAATGAAGCCAAATCCTTGTCCCGACATTATTCACCAAGCCACAAGCTAAAGTCCCAAATACACGTCCGCCTATCATTCTAAGTGTTATGCAGGCCATTTCCCCCTCCCCTGCCAATTTCTTCTTCTCCCCTGCCAATTTCTTCTTCCCCCCCTCCCCTCCCAATTTCTTCTTCCCCCTCCCTCCCAATTTCTTCCCCCGCCTCCCTGACAATTTCTTCTTCCCCTCCCACCCTTTCTCCCACCCTCCCATTTCTTCTCCCCCTCCCTACAATTTATTTTTCTCCCACCCTCCCCATTTCTTCTCCCTCCCTACCAATTTTTCTCCCCTACCAATTTCTTCTCCCCCTCCCACCCCCTTCTTTCTCCCCCTCCCTACCTCTTCCCCTCACCTACCAATTTCTTTTTCTCCCACCTCCCCCATTTTCTCCCTCCCTTCCCAATTTCTTCTCCCTCCCTCCCATTTTCTCCCTCCCTCCCCTTTCTTCCTCCCACTTTTTCTCCTCCTTTTTGTAGCGTGGCCGAGCCCTGTATCATGATGGTCTGCGGGTACAGGTAGCTTTTGTTTCCTGTACCCGCGGACTATACAGGGCTCAGCCACGCTACAGAGAGGGAGTGACAGGAGGGAGCGCTGAGTGCTGAACGCTTCCCTCCTGTCAGCCCCTCTCCTCAGGCTGCGCCCGGGCGGTGCGGTCCGCCCTCATGGACGCACCGCCCGGGCAAAGCTGCAGCCGCCTGAGGCTCTCTGCAGAGCGCTTGGGCGGCTGCAGCATGAGGGGGGCGGCGCCCCTTCCCAAGGGGCGCCCTAGGCGGCTGCCTAGTCCGCCTAACAGGTAGCGCCGGCCCTGTTCGTGGGGTCTGCAGTGGTTATGGTGTCTAGTGGAGTGCGTGGAGTCCTCAGGAAGTGCTAGGAGCATCCTTCAACGGAGGTACCCAGTCGGGGTGTCAGGAGATCTGTTACACTACCTGACGGCAAAGGATGCTGGTTTTTATAAAGCTCTTATAAAGAACTTAACTTGAGCAGGATTTGGAGTCAGTCTTGGAGCAAAAAGGTTTGAACACTTTAATACAGATTTCACTACCTGACTGCACTGTTTTGCTAACAGCTTTTGTAGCAAAAGCAATATTTTTTATGTGTGTTTACAACTGATTTATAAAGATAGTCAGCAGAATATATATATATATATATATACATTAAATAAAATTATTTCTAAATAAGTTTAACAAAAAAAAAGGATGAGAAGCCCAACCCAAGTAATGTTTTTCAGTTAACAGTTTTCAGCCCCTAACAGCGTCTTTTAATGCCCCTAACAGACTTTTTCAATGTCCCTAACAGGGAATTTTAATGTCACTAACTAACAGAGCATTGCAATGCCCCTACCTAACAGGGCCTTTCAATGCCTATACCTAACAGAGCATGTCAATGTCCCTAACAGAGAATTTCAATATCCCTACCTTACAGAGACTTTCAATGTCCTTAACAGAAAATGTCAACGTTCCTACCTAACAGAGTCCATAACAGAGACTTGCAATGCCCCTACATTTGTTAGGGACAATTGTTTTGTCCCTAAGAAACAATTTCAATAACTCTAACAGAGCTTGCACTTTTTAGGTCCACTCTCTATCACTCTCTACCATGAGTGATATGAAATGGCTGGCGTCAGGGCGGGCTGGCTGACGGCAAGGCGGGCTGACAGAAGGGCAGGCTTAAGATCACGCTCCTCCAGTCTCTTGATAAGATTGCAGTTGCACAATCTCTGCTGTTTCCGACCTTCCAGGAACAGCAGGTGGCGTTTGGTGGAGAATAGAGGAGGAACTCCAATTTTTTTCTCGTGGAACACCAATTGGGAAACGCTGCTCTTGAATTTAATCAACAGTTATTTTTAACAATGCTACAGAAATCGTTTAGCTCAGCCTTTAGAAATCCACTGTAGCAGAGATGCAATATTCCCCAGGTATCTCCGCTTATAATCCAAGTGAGGCTCAGGAACAAGTAAATTGTAAATCCACAGGCAAGGTCTCCAGCAGGCAAAATAACACAGCAATATCCCACAGCAATCCCAATAACTGGACGACACACAGTTTCAGGAGCAGAACTGAAATCTTTAATCCACACTGGCCTTTTAAAGCATGCTCCCATGCAAGGGAGGGATTACATTCATTAATACAGTAGCCAATCCTGTCCTGGTAACCTCCCACACTTCTCCTCCCCTCAGCCAGCATCATAATCCCCTTATCCAGTACAGTAATTCCCCCCATTTCTGGATGTACCCCTAAACGTAGGGGTACCCCTTTAAATCCTACACCCCCCGATAGCCCTGATCTGGGTGAACAACATATCCAAAAATCACCCAGATCAGACCAGGGGTTTGGGAAATTTATGGAGGGAATAAAATGACCGACCGCACTGAGTGAAACCGCCGAATGCGGTTCCATGTGAATGGGCCCTGCGGTCGGTCCTGGAGTAAGGGAACAAACTGCATGAAAGCCTCTAGCTATAGAGGCTAGGGAGGGTTCGCCTGAATCCCCTCGTTCGGTTCTATCTACCGAACGATGGGCCGTTCGGTAGTTAGGAACCGAACGGACCGGGCTTGTGGAGGATTCAGCGGTGTTCGCCTAGTCGAGTGTCCGATTTGAGTTCCAGACACTCAACGGCAAAACACCGCTGTTCGGGAGTTTTAAAATGGCCGCCGCCACGTGTTCGTTTGTTGAATGGCGGCCACCCCCGAGAACAAAGGACGGCTACTTCACTTCTCAATTACCCGTTCGCAACAATGTTGCAACGGGTAATTGAGGACACACTTCACACAGGGGAGGTCTGACTGTTCGGTAGTTTCATTCGAACAAACTAAGGGAATGAAACTACCTTACATTCAGACGAATCAAATACATTTTACACATAGAACTTAGTTATTTTACACGAATACATTCCCTTACTGCAAAGACATTTAGCAATTAGACGAATACAGTTTAAACATAATGTAAGTCCCAGGGCAGCTCATGGACATCCGCTACATCCACCACACAGAATGTAACACAGAGCTTTTTACATAAAAGTCCACCTCAAAGTCATAAAAAACAGATTGCTGACAGGCAGTTAGAATTAGTAAACAGAGAATTCACTCACTGCTGGCAACAATTCACACAGGGTAAACACTTAAGTATTGCAAACAAAATATACAATTTTTCATTTCACAAATAGTCAACTTAACTATTCTCTACCATTTAGTAACTAAAAGAAAAATTCTAAGCCTTTAGTTGCTTTGCTGTAGATATTTAAGTTTTCCTTAAAATTTCAGATATAATTCAATATCTCTGGATAATAGCTTGATATGCTAAACTTGGTAAATTACCAGTAAATATATTTTTCTTTTATCCCAGCTGCAGTATTGAATATGGAATTATATATTTCTCAGCACAATATGATTTCAAAAGTTTTAAAATCTGATCAGCATTATCCAGGTATATTTCTGCTTTTAGTAACAATGTAATAAATTAAATTAAACCGGCATATTTTTTAACAATTTTACTACTAGAATAGTCTTTAGGTAGGCTGAAGATATAATCCATTTAATATCTTTTATTGATTTTGTTCTTCAATGACATAAACATAAATATCACATGAAACTGGTGGGGGGGGGTACAGAATAGAAGGGGGAGTGGTGGGGGATTCCATATCAGACATTTTACATTTAGGTGTACAATCACCATTGCGAGAAAACATCGATTGCATCGTATCCTATAACAGCACACATTTTTTATCTTACTACAGCTCTCAATTTTGTCTATTCTGCCGGTTCTGTCCCAAACGTGTTTCCTTACCCACTAGTGGTGGGCCTATTAGCTTGGTTGGCGGGCTCTCCCGTATTTCCTACGTCCCACAGTCTCCAGGCTTTCATGGCCGTTTCTGTCAGGGGGAGAACCCCTCTATATCGGGATTCATATAGTTGCTGTATGTCCACGTCCCTACAAACCTCTGTCACTTGTGGGGGTCTACGCTTTTTCCATAGTCTAGCTATCGCCCTCTGGGCTGTCAAGAGGATGTGGAATGTTAGTTTTTGTACCTCATTAGGTGTGTTGTCTGGCATGTGCAGTAATAGGTACGTTAGGGGTGTGCAAGGGAGCTTGACTTTTGTGGTGTTTCGGATCAGGCGGCCAATGTCTTGCCAGAAACCGGTCACTTGATCACATTGCCACCAGATATGGAGTACTGTTCCCTCACTCTTGCCACATCTCCAGCACGTCGGAGATGAGCTAGGGTATAGCTTCTGTAAGCGAGTTGGTACCATGTACCACCTGTATAGAGTTTTCCTATATTGTTCCAGGAGGGTTTCTGATTTGATTAGTTTCTTAGTTGCTACTATGGCGCGTTCCCATTGGTCTTTACTTATGTGGCATTGTAAGTCATGTGTCCATTGTTTGGCTGGGTTGGAGTCTGCAAAGTGTTGTGAGGGTCTGAGAAGCTGATAACACCAGGACAATGGCTTAAACGTTGGTGTCCGTGAACCTGTGGTGGTCATCTGTTCCCATTTTGTCATAACAGATAGACTGCCTTCTGAAGGTGGGGATTTGTCTGTGTGTTTACGCAGAAACGAGCTTAGTTGCATATGGGAAAATTGAGAGGCCGCTGGTACACGATATTCTTCCTGTAAGTCTGGAAAAGTTTTTAGTGTGTTCTGTGTGAACATTTGGCACAGGTGAGTGACCCCGTTTGTCATCCAGGGCTTTGCGTTGATGGTTGGGATACAATACGTTATAGTATGGAGCGGGGTGGCCGGTGATAGGGTGTTTGTGTCGGATTTTGTCCCAAGTGTTTAGTGCTATTTTTATCTGTGCTGGCATCTGTGTCACTTCTGGTCTAAACCGATTTGGAAGCCACAGTAGGGTGGGAATGTCAAAGGGCTTGACCGCTAGTTTTTCTAAGTGCACCCACTGCAGTGTAGTTGTGGTTGTGAAATGGGGAAGAAGCGCTGCTAGCGTTGCTGCTTGGTAGTATGACTTAATGTCCGGTAAGGCTAGGCCCCCCTTTCTCGCTGGTGCTCGTAGCAGTGTACCCTTTACTCGGGCCTTTTGACCCCCCCACACAAATCTATTCATGTCTCTTTGAGCTTCTCGGAGGTAGGATGCGGGTACCTGAATCGGTAGGTTGCGAAACAGGTATTGGAGCCTAGGAAGTATGGATATTTTGATGGTTGCTACTCTCTCTGTCCAGGTCAGAAACAGTGTGCCCCATTTCTTCATCAATTGGCGGCATTCTCCCCTCACCTTAACGTAGTTGGCCGAGAAGGTCTCTGTAGGGTTTTTCGTAAAGGTCAGTCCTAGATATTTTATTGTACCTGTTCTCCACTCAAAATGGTGTTTCTCTTTGAGGACAGTCAGGGTTCGGTGATTAAGCCGCACTCCCAACGCTTGTGTCTTACTGGCATTGAGAGAGTAGTAAGATCTCTTGCCATATTCCCTGATGAGATCTAAAATGAGTGTGGTCGACTGTTCAGGCTCAGTGACACAGAGGAGTATGTCATCTGCAAATGCGCTAATTTTAATTTCCCTGCCGTGAAGCTCTATTCCTTTAATACCCTCTTGATTTCTAATTTGGACTAGTAGTGGTTCTAGGGCCAGGACGTACAACAGCGGTGATAAAGGGCATCCCTGCCTCGTGCCGTTTGTCAGGGGGAACGGGTCTGAGAGGAAGCCGGCTTGCAGCACTCGGGCCATGGGGCCTGCGTACAGAGCTAATATTTGTTTAATAAATTCGGAGGGGATGTCGTATTTTTGAAGTGTGTGTTCGAGAAATGACCAATTCAATCTGTCAAACGCCTTTTCGGCATTGAGGGCTAATAAAAGCCCACCCTGTCCTGATCCCCTCATTTTTTCCAGCACCAAGGAAAGTTTTCTAGTATTGTCCCTACCCTGCCTACTCTTGATGAATCCTGTTTGGTCGTCTCCTATGATAGTTGGGAGGATGGGTGCCAGTCTGTTGGCCAATATCTTAGCATATATCTTCGCGTCTGTATTAAGGAGGGATATAGGTCTAAAATTTTTGCAGCTGTCCGTAGGTTTGTCTGGTTTCGGGAGTGTCACTATTGTGGCCACCAGCATTTCAGGGGGAAGGGATCCTGTTTCAGTCGCTGTGTGGTATACCTTGAGCAGGTTTGGGGTTAGTATATCTATGAATGTCTTGTAATAGCTGTTTGAGAAGCCATCTGCGCCCGGGGATTTGCCCGAGGGCAGACTCTTAATTACCGTCTGGATCTCCTGTATGGAGATCGGTTCTAGTAGGGCGCTCACTGATTCTTGGTCTAGTTTGGGGAGTTCCACACCCTGTAGGTAACTGCGAATAGATTGTGTGTCTGGAGCTGTTGCGCCCCCACTTGTGTTTAGGTTATATAGCTGTTTGTAAAAGTGTGCAAATTCCTGCACTATGTCCATGGGGTTCATGAGTTTTTCTCCTGTGTGTCCTATGAGGTGTGGGATTCTATTGGCGGCCTGCTTAGTTCTTAGTCTGTTGGCCAAGTATTTAGTTGCCTTGCCGCTGTGGTGGTATGTGGTGGCTCTTAGTCTATGTAGGAAATATTGGGTCTTTTGGGCGTTGAGCTCATTTAGGTCCTGATACAGACCTCTTAATTTGTCTGCTAGGGCTGCCGTGGGTGTTTTCTTGTTTTGGGCTGTGTTTATCGCTATTTGCTTGTGGCATTCTAGTAGGGTGGTCTGGTGATGTCTCTTTATGTACGCTGATTGCCTGATGAACTGGCCCCTCATCACGGCTTTGTGTGCTGACCACACTGTATAGTCGGTGACCTCACTGAGTTCTATCTTCATGCGTTCTACAAACGGTTTATCTAATAGGAGGGACTCGTTTAGCCTCCATGTGTTCCTGCCTCGGGACTGATATGTATCCTCCACGTCCAGATAGATTGGGCTGTGATCTGACCACGTTATCTCTCCTATTCTGCAGTCTGTCAATTGTGGCATGGTCTTGTTATCTATAAAGAAGGTGTCTATACGTGTGTACGTGTTGTGGGCCCTTGAGTAGAAAGTGTAATCCCGGTCTGTAGGGTGCAGTGTTCGCCAGCTATCATATAAGTTGTACATGGTCAAGGTGTTGGTGAGAGTTTTGCAGAGGGCTTGGGTCCCCTTTTTGCGCTTTCCCTGTGGCGAAGCAGTAGTATCTAAGGTCGGGGACTGAATGAAGTTAAAGTCTCCTCCTAGAATGAGCCCTCCTTGTTTATATGTATCTAGTTTGGACAGAAGTGCTTTGAGAAAAGAGGCTTGATTGTCATTCGGGAAGTATGCTGCGCCAATGGTGTATTGTGTATTATTGAAGAGCCCTACCACTATGATGTATCTCCCTTTAGGATCTATATAACTGCTTTGTAGTGTGAAGGCGATGTCTTTATGCACTAGGATGGCAACCCCTTTTGTCTTCGTCTCCGATAGGGCATGATACTGTATGGGGTATAGTTTTGTGAAAAGAGATGGGGCTATGGGGTGTCTAAAGTGTGTTTCTTGGAGGCATGCGATATCTACCAAGTTTTTCTTAAGGTCTTGAAGAAGCAATCTGCGTTTTCCCGGGGAGTTCAGTCCTTTAACATTATAGGACACTATTCTCATAATGATGTGGTTGTGGTTGGTGACCCAAGTGCTGGTACCTGTGTTAGAAGAACTACGCTCTAAGCTTTACACACAATATTTCGGCGAATGCCTTTGTGTGGCAGTTCGGCGTGGATGTCTGTTGCAAAAGTGATATGGAGGCAAGAAGGGGACGGGGTGAGGTCAACCTTTAACTGTTTTCCTTGCGTCGTTTCCGTATGTATGGGGGAGGGAGGGGGGAACAAAGGGCTTAACCATATGAGGCTCCTCTGGGTCGAGCCTGTTTGCGGCGCCCAAGGGTCGCACGCAGTCTGAGGGGGTGGTGGAGTTGGGACTTCCGTTGAGGAGTGTGTCCCTGTGACAAGCACACGTTGGGGCACCATGTATGCTGGTGTGGTTAGCCTGCGTTGCATTTTTTTTTTTTTTTTAATTCTCTCTCTCTTTCCTTCAACTTCCCTGCCTGTGTGCCTCCGGTGACCTGACTCCCCAACCTTTGGTGTTTGGGCAGTGTCGTGGTCTAACCGAGAATAAATCTCGCTGTGTACCTGGCTAGTCGGCCTGGGAGGAGGTCAGGGGGGCCCCGGCATTTACCCACGTGGTTCCCAGGTGTAACATTAAAATAAGAAGATACGGATTAACAGAGTATTAAATACAACAAGATAACTGACAATTGGTTATGAGTCTTACGTATACCACACGGTCATGAAGTCTCTTTAGCAGGACCTGTTTTTTGTAGCTCTGCCAGCGGGATTCCCCAGTCTCTGAGCATCTTGATGCCTTGCGTCGCTGATGTGATGGCGTGGAGGGAGTCTTCTTGGTAGACTAGCAGCTTGGCCGGATATCCCCACCTGTAGTTTACTCCTTGGTTGCGCAGTGATAGCGTAATTTGTGCCACAGATTTGCGGTATTGTAAGGTCTCTGCCGAAAGGTCGGAGAAGATTTTGATGTTGGAGAACTTCTCCGGCATCCCTCTATTCCTGCTTGCCTTGACAATTCTTTCTTTGGCGTGGAAGAAATGTACTCTTGCTATGACGTCTCTCGCTGCTGTGTTGGGTAGATGGCTAGGTCTCCGGAGACGATGTGCTCTGTCCAGCAGAAGTTGGTCCGGGTGCAGTTCTGGGGTCATCTGTTGGAACATGTCTTGCAAGTACTTGTCTAGGTCAGCATTTGTAACTGATTCTGGTATCCCCTTAAATCGGAGGTTGTTCCTCCTAGACCTATCTTCCAGGTCTGCTAGCTTGAGTTTTTGAGCTGTAATGACTTCTTCCAGTTCTTGCATTTTATCAGCCACACTGTTATGTGCCATGGAAAATTCGTCCATCTTAGATTCTAGATGTGCAGTGCGGGTCCCTATGTCCTGCAGGTCTTTCCTAAGTTCGGTTGTCAGTGTCAGTATTTGAGCCTTAAGGCTTCTCTGTACGGTATTTGTGAGCTCTGCCATCATACCTCTCATAGTTGCCACTGTGAGTGGCTGGTCCTCAGTAGTTGTTGCTGGGGAGGCTGGGGATGCAGGAGATCCCTCCCGCGATCGTGGCGGGCCGCCATCTTGTTCGGTGTCTTCCCGCGCTTTTTGCGGTGTGGCTTTCGTCTGGAAGAAGGACACTTTATCCGCCCTTGTTGGTTTAGGTTTTTGTCTCTGGGACATGGTGGGTAGCAGCCTGCTGTTTTGCTAGTGTTGGCGCTCGGTAGCCCGGTTATTTGGGTGCCCCTTGTGTCCTGAGCGGCGGGAGCTACTCCGGCATGCGACCGTGCAGCTCGAGCGCTTAGCCACGCCCCCTGAAGATATAATCCAATGGGTGGTAAATGCAAGTAAGAGTCTTTAAAGATAGAGACTTTTTGTGGGAAGATAGCAAGAGCAGTTCTGTAAAAAGTCCAGTTTGTCTGGCTAACAAATACATTTCAGAATCCCAGAATTCAGATGGGAAGAGCAGAGTGGTTTTCCCAGGAGTGTATGTAAGGTTGTGTCCAGATGTGTGTTCCATCTGTTGCTGATGCTCTGATAATGATGATTTGAAGATCTTTTGCTAATGATCTCCCAAAAGTGCTGTGTTCTCACTTTTTAAAGAATTTCTTATCACTAATTATTTACATTATCAATTTAAAGTGACCAATTGGATGTATTAGGTCGGTATATCTTATTCTAATGACAAATTTTACAGATATTGATCAGTAGTTGGCGTCATTGTATCACAATAATTTTCCATACTAATTCCAATTACCACTTTGTCTAAGGGATTAATTATGACTAAAATTACGTAGAAATTCACTATTTTTTTAGGTAATTTATCATGGGTGTCTGTCACACATCAAAATAATCTGGTAGACTAACAGTCTTCTTTTCATGCTATAAAGTATCTTTTTGACGCATCTGTACTTTGGTGCAACTCACGTCTTACAATGGGGTCTTGTAGAAGTCCCATTGAACTTGACTTCTCTCAAAGTAAAATTAATTACTAGTAGGGAGTATTCTCTTGGTAATTCTAATCTGTTTTACCGGACATGTCACCCATTAAGCATGTTTGGGATGCTCTGGATCAGCATATACGACAGCGTGTTCCAGGTCCTGCCAATATCCATCAACTTCGCACACCCATTGAAGAGGAGTAGACCAACATATCACATACCACAATCAACAACCTGACTAACTCTATGCGAAGAAGATGTGTTGAACTGCTTGAGGTAAATGGTGGTCACACCAGATACTGACTGGTTTCCGGACCCTCCTGGACCCTCCCAATACAGTAAAACTGCACACTTCAGAGTTGCCTTTTATTGTGGCCAGCCTAAGGCACACCTGTGCAATAATCATGTTGTCTAATCAGCATCTTGATATGCCACACCTGTGAGGTGGATGGATTATCTTGGCAAAGGAGAAGTGCTCACTAACACAGATTTAGACAGATTTGTGAACAATATTTGAGAAAAATAGGCCTCTTGTGTACATAGAAAAGGTCTTAGATCTTTGAGTTCAGCTCATGTAAAATGGGGGCAAAAACAAAAGTGTTTATAATTTTGATCAGTGTATATATGTGTGTGGGCTTTACATTCTCAACCCCTTGTTCCAAATTTTTTTTCCTAATGCTTAGTTCTAAGTGTAAGAGATGCTTTAGTTCTAATCACTGTTTACACAAGTCGCACTACACATTTTGGTCGGGCAGTGAACAGAGTAAGAAAGGAAAAAAAAAGTGTTTGTATCTTGTTACATTTCGTTACAAAAATCGTGGTTAAATCGTGATAGAAAAGGCATCATGTCATTTTGGGGACAATGCATTACGATTTGATGGATCCTGATGGGAAACATGAAGGCAAGCTTCAGTCAGCACAAGATCACATATACAGAGTACAATTAATAGATAAAACATTAATAATTAAAACATTTCTACGAATTATATAAATCTGAATACTAATATCCCAACTCGTATGTTTGACCATATGTTCTAACAACCTATGAATTGAGCTTGTGAGTATTGATGCCCCCATTGATTAATCAAAATGGAAGTTAACATAAAAAAAAATTAACAGTTATAAATAATGAAAAGCTGGTGTTTCTATGAACAAGTGGTTAGATTAGAGTCAGTTATCAAGCTTGCCTAGCTAGGTTGTATAAGACAACTGATCTGTAGTATTTTGAGTCCTCATTTACATGAGATATCTGAGTGTGGATTTATAATCTAAAGGTATTTAATTACCAAGGAGTAATCCCAAAGGTACACTGGTGTCATTATACTTGTAAATTGTGTTTGCCATCTTTATAGAAAAAAAACTATTGCCACTGATATTGAGTAGAATTAAGAAAATGTGTACAACTACAACAAGACCATTTAAAATACTAATGAGCCTGATGAGTGACCTACAGCATTAGAATAGCCAACCGTGGGACCGACGGGTGAATAGGGACAGATACCAACCTGTATTCAGTGTAATAACCAAAACATGAGGGCATAAACACTTCCAGACCTGCTCTTCGCCCTCCTCTCTCCCACATCCAGCAGCAGCCATCCCACTGGTGTCCCAATGGTATTAGGCCATAATTATTCATAAGCTGTTGTCTGACCCAGTTAATAAATGAAAAGGGAGAGTATACCAAGTGATAAGAATCGAGAATCTCCTGCTGCTAACTCAATTACAATTTGTGGTAATCAGTGTGCAAAACGTGGTGTGTAAATATAGTAGGTATTCATCAATAGTTGAAATGCCATGTCCAACGTTTGGGGAACAAGAGGTTTTTA